TCGATTGTTGAGAAAACAACTTAAGACAAATACATTGTGAATTAAAAGTTTAATAAAATTATAACAATTCAAATATTATGTTTGATTTAAAAATGAATCGTAGGGATTTGAACCTATGACCTTTCAAACCATAACAGGAGTTATTCCTATTTTTAGTCTTGTGTCTATGGAATTTAAACTTGTGTGACGGCTGTATTTTGTGTTTGTGTTTTGTGTTTTTTGTGTTTTGTACTGTAAGGAACAAAACATTGGAATTTTGTTTATGTTTTACAATGGGAAATGAAAGGTCAGAGGAAGAAAACATTAATTTATGAGCATAATTGTTTTACATCACAATACTAAGAAATAATTATAGCAATGTGACATATCAAGAACAACAAAGACCTTCACAATAACATCCTGTGTTATGAAGATACATTAATATTTAATGCCTTAATTAGTTTGTTAGTGAAACAAAATAGAATGCTGCCGCTCCCCAATAAACTTCCTATTGGTAAATTAGCAGAACGACCAGGGTTAATTTATGGAAAAAAACAATGCAAATTCTAGGACTCTGTACATCTTTGCCGGTAGGTAACTGCTTTAGGAACAAGCGATGGGCACCTAAATGTCGTATTCTGGATGCCAAATCTCAATTGTAGATTAATAGTTTTCCTTGTATCCTCCATTTCCAAAGTTTGTTGCAGAACAAGAAATCAATAACAAGAAATTATTCCTTGATAAAATTATGTAAACCAAGGCTTACTGTAAACAAATTCATAGTTCTAAATTTGACAGCCAAATTTCCTACCTTTCAAGAGTGTCAATCAAACTCAACTGACCAATCAGAGCAGGGCCTGGAATATCCAAGGGGCAGGGCTTAGTAGAAAGGTCCATTAGGATGGCACATGTCATTTTCAGCCCTCTGAAGTGTGCCATAACCATAAAAAGTGTACCTCAGCCCCAACCTCGATAGGGCTGAGGTGGGATGAGGTACATCCCTGGGCCCCTTTTATTTCAATTCAAATTTCTGGGTTCATCAGTGACAATAACACAAGTCTGACCCCTAAACAGGTCTGACCCCTAAACCAGTCTGACCATTAAGAATCAATATAAGTTTATAAGAAAATTCAATCAAATTATGAATCATAAATGAAAAAAAAACATAATCTCATCATATAGGTATCATATTCCAGGAATGTTTACTCGTCTTCCTGGACCTTCTGAGGAAAGGAATGCCTGGAATGGAATCCCAGAAAAACAACCACTTTCACTCTTCACACTGACCTCTCAAGGTGTGACCTCTTATTGAGAAGATTTCAAATACATCAGGAAGCCCTAATTGGTCAGATTAATATTAGGCCAATACTTGTAATAATTAATTGCTCAATACGGACAGAATTATTACTGAACCATGTAGGGCCTGATCTTTTTCTTTATGTTTTTGTACTAACAAAAAGTTGCTAGCAACTTATAAGTTGTAATAAATTAATACTATTGTATGTATACTGTATGTTGACATTCGATAAATTAGGCCAATTTAAAAAAATTATTAGTTATTCCAACTTTTTCAGGAAGAGAGGGTATACTTATTTGTTTTTATTTGGGGGTATGGGAGAGGTGGCAATATACAGCAAACACCAAATCTATTCTACAAAGACAAATATAGACGATAAAATTTACCATAATAGCCTTATTGCAATGCTGAAAAAACATTAAAAAAAAGTAATGATAAACTAATTTAAGTCATTACTTGGCCTTAGGGAGGCATCAGGGGAGTGTAAAAAAATCTACTGTATAAGATTTGTACCCATAAACCTGTCCTAATAGTAAGACACGCTTTGCTTTTCATTCATTGCGTATGACAATCATTATAACTGATTGCTAAAAATTATAATTTTGAAAGCGTTTGTACAAAAATTCTATTAAATATTCAGAATATAAATTACATTCATTATCATTCAGAAAGTATTAAATCAGTAATATAATTTGTTTTTTTGCAAGAAACACTTTCAATAACAAGTTAATTCATCAATCAGATGTTTACTTTAGTCGGAGGAAGTGCAATAAATCCTGCTCAATAAGTAGGTTAGAAATACAAACCAGGCTTTGAGTAAACTAGATCACATATATAAAAAAAAAATTACAAAAATAGTATCATTATTTCTAATTTCATTCATGTATTTCAACTCTTGTTCTTCAATCAAAAATACCTTTTACCAATTTCTTTAAGTATTATACAACAGTAATCAATTGTATTAACTGGCACAATATTGCTTTTTTATTATCAAGTATAAGCAATTTGTTAGCCAAGAAAATATTCTGAAAGCATTGATAATTACTTGATACAAAAGAATATTTTTATTATTGCCTAACATATTCACATTAGAGTGAATAAATTGTAGTTTGACCTGCAGTGTATAAAGGTGATATTTCTAAACTTGTCCTAGTTAAACAAGGCAAGACATTCCTTGTTCAACGAGACAACTGCCAAGCGATATTATAAGGACGATTTTATAGAAATTATATAATTGGCTCTTTAACGTACCCATCACATCACAAAATTTCAGAAAAAAAGTTTATATAAATATACTTTTAGAAAAATTAAAAGAATTTTTTTCTTTTTTCAGCCCTTACTTTCTAAAATGCGCAAATAGATTTCTAGGCCTAATTTTTGCCCACAGGATACAGTAAAATGTCCATTTTAGGAACATCAATTTTAAGAATAGTTGATTTTACGAATGGTCTTTGCTCCTGATGATGTCATCATCGACCAATCATTACCGTAAAAAAAAGTCTGATTGCAGACAATAAAATCAAGTGTATTGTATTTATCTATTAATAGTTCGATCTTTTCTTCTATTTCTGGTATAATAATCACTATATTAATGTAACAAACCTAACCAGAACAATGAACTACCAACGTGTCGTCGGATTGAGCGCACGTTTACGATGACGAACAAGAGCGTTGTGGTCAGCAAATTTATTGACATCGTGAATGCTAGATAAGATCGAGAAATGCATACTTTAAACAACAAAATTCAGCGATTTAACAACTAGAAAGAACATGATAGAAAAGGCCATAAAACACAGATGTTTGAATAAGAGTTAAAATAATATTTTGTTAAGTGGAAGAATGCCAGCGGTTTTTTTATTGAAGGTAAATTCAGATAGGCTCTAGCGCGGTAGACCACGCTACTGCACTGTCAGTACGTGCTAAGCCTGGCCGCCGTCAGCCTATTGACACTTGCCAGGCCACTTGGATTAGGACCTACAGTATATAAATAGGACCTTTGCTAGAAATAAGACCTTTGTTAGGCTGGGGTTTGGTTTCTCAGCAGCTGGCCCTAATAATATATTGGTTTTTATTTCACTTGTTTGGTGACTGTTTTGTGTGGTACCCTACCTAAAGCTAGACGTCTACACAATCAATACATACAATGAATGATAGTTACTGCATGAATATAATTCACTAATGTTACACAAAACCCTAAGAAATTTTTAAAAGGCAGAAAATCCTAGGCAGATCAGTCGAATCAATGCAAGCACAGAAGCCTGGCTCTCCAGCAATTTCCCCGGCCACTGACTGGCTGTCAACCAAGTGATTTCCTGGTTCATCGCGGGTAAGGAGAAACGCATGCATTTTAAAATTTTCTATCAGATTAAAATGAATTAAAGCGTTAACTTACTGCTTGGCCCCTAACATTAGCCATGGTCTAGGCCTAGGTTTCTTTTTTAAATAAACAGACTTCTGCTGGCTGGGTGATCGTGACCGGCTGCTCTCTCAACATGTAGCCATTTTGGACCGATCGTCATTACTGCGCATGTGCAGCCGACCTTGAATTTACCGTACCGCAATGGATTTGGACCCACTACCAAAAAATATTCACTTTTTTATTTGAAGTGTTATTGCAAATTTTGTAATTAATTCTAGGCCAATATTGAATTTAAAACTGTGTTTTCTGAGTTTTTATTGGATAATAGTGAAAATAATAAAAACTGGAAGTGTTGATATCACTTTTCGCTGTAAAATTATCTCTCAAAATATTTTAAAATGCACTATTTTTATGTCCAATTTAAGTATAATTTCAAATTGATTTTTATAATATTTGTTGGGGGTATTTTCCATGGGACAATACATGTTTGATAGGCCTAGTATTTAGGAGTATCTACCGTGGGGATGATGGGAGCGGGAGAAATTAAAAGTGGGTCGGAGAGATGTCGACGTGTCTGACTGATTCCTCACAACCAAAAACAAACTTCCACTCCCTAATGTGATAATCTTCTTGTCTGCCACTTTAAAAGTAAGTTCATTGTTTAATACTGTTGCTATGAAAAAAACAACAGGGGCTTATGGCTGGAGCCCCCCCCCCCCGCGCCCTCCCCTAGATACGCCACTGCCTCTTGCCATGTGTAATGATACGTAGGCCTATCTAATTTGTCTTTAGTGTTGTTTGTAATGAGCTAGAAAAATTAACAATCCACTTACATATTTGAATTGCTGAATTTTAATAATTACAATTATTAATAATGTAAAAATCAACGGACATTCATATTTATGTACCTTTACTTTGAAAGTAAAGGTATATAAATGTCCGTTGTGATTAACTGGGATTTTGTTTGCAGACCCTTAACTGAATTCTAATATTGACCCTAAAATTTTTGATTGAATTTTTTTTTTTTTTTTTTTTTTAACATTTCGGTAGACCAGAGGGGTATTTTTATACCTCTCCCTGTTACGGACACAACTTTGTACAAGCGCCACTAATTAGTAGGCCTACATGTCAATAACATTTTTTTTTGTAAAACACAGTAATGACGTCTGCAGAAAAGTTGCTGCTTTGACCTTTAACTTAAGTGTCTACTCAGTATTTTAGAAAAACTCAGACATGTTTTTTCTCTTTTTAATTTCAACAAAACGACGGAAATCATATCATCAGAACATCAGACATCTAATCAAACAAATCGTGTTTGTGTTTGATCTCATAAACTATATGGCAGTCAATACTTCAACCAATCAGAGAGCACAGCAGAGCTAGAGAGACTGGCAGAAATGAAAATGGCTGAAACAAGCGATCGCGTATGGAAACCAGATAACGCTGAGATTGATGTTTTAATCGATTTGTTTCAGAAAAATCCATGTTTGTGGGACAATAAATCAAAAACATATCATGACAAATCAATTAGGAATGCAGCTATACAAAATATAGCCCTGGAACTTGATACAGAAGGTATTTTTTAAGCTTGATGGACGCTCGTGTTTGCGTAGGCTATTGGCCACTAACTAGAAGAGAGTCGAGAGTAAGCGCGATTGGCCGCTGTGCTGTACTGTAACTCAGTAACTCATAGATAGAAAGGCCTAAGCCTAGCTAGTTACGCTTGAATGGGATCAGCCTCAAAATTTGTTTTCAAACTTAGTCTGACTTTTACGTAGTGGTGGCAACCTCCTTCACCGAGGTCTAGGCCTAGTGCTGACTATTTAATATAATAATCATTCATTCACCTTTTTAGATAGGCATATGGGCCTGACCTACTACTACTACTACAGGCTAGGACCTGCTACAGTAGGTAGGGAGGGAAGCCTACCATGGTTGAGCCAATGATGTCAAGTCAATGAATTTTCGACTGGGAGGTGAGCTGGGGAGTGGGGTCCGTGGATGGGGAAAATGATACAAGAATCTCAATTTCATTAAATCGTTAAGGTATAGCAATTTTATTCTAACACATTGATATAATTTGGTTTTTTTAGTGAAGAATATTAAATGGAAGTGGAACAACATTCGAACTCAATATAGAAGGGAAAAATCAAAGGAATATATGAAGAGTGTTAGCGGAGTGGACGATGGCTACAAAAGCAGATGGAGGCTAATGGATAGACTTATGTTTTTAGATGATAGCCTAGCCCCGAGACAAATAGAGTGGAATTTAAAGGTTAGTTTTTCTTTTTTGGAGACTTACATTTCCAGTATATTTTTATTTAAATTTCTGGAAAATACCATTATTCATGCATGAACTTATGTTATTTTCTTCTTTTTAGAGACGACTGAATCTGAATAATGAGGAGGATGAAGATTGCATCGAAATAGATGAAGAAATTATTAGCGGGAACGAGGCTGACACTGCTCTAGACTGCGCGGCTTTACCCAAATCCATGCCATCATCTACAAAACAACTTGTCCTAAAGAACAAACTATCCAAAAAATCCAGACGCGATATTGGGGAGCGACAGCTTTTAGAGAAGGCAATTCTTTGTCTGGAAACAGCCACAAATAAACCAAACGAACCAGTTTCCGACCCGGATTACAATTTTGGCAGATATGTTGCAGATGAACTGAAAGCTATAACGGATCAAAGTACAAAGCAAATGGCGAAACATAGGATACATTGTATACTCTTTGAAGCCCAAACCAATCAAGGAGAGCATTCAATGTCGTATATGACGAATACATAACGATATAAACATCATTTTGACTGTATTTGTTGCGGTGCTGAACAGCATAAAAAAACCCACCTGGTAATGAATCCAAGCAATGAAGCCATGTTTATAAGCCTTTCCGCTAAGCCTTGCCCCCTTGGAAATGTGTGTATTCCTGGTCCTGTTCTTATTGGTCAGTTAAGAAGTTTAGTTGACACTTCGGAAAGGTTCATTATGACAGCCTGTTTATATCAGGGAAACACTTCATATACCTTGTTTCACAAAAACCCACTGCCCATCGGTAATGATTTTGAATGAAAATTCTGTGTTTAGCCTGTTATATGGTGGATCTTGAGAAAAATATGTGGAGAGGCCATGCAATGTGAAAAGCACAGAGTTAATTGGTGAGAGGGGGGGGGGTGGCATAGTCAATTGTTAGATAATATCAATACAATTACACAAAGTATCATGCAGCACCCTCAATAACATTTACATTTCTCACCCTTTCCCTTTTTTAGGGGGGGAGGCTTTAGGCCCCCTTGGGTCCATCCCTGTCTCAGCACACCTGTTGCCATGAAATTTTAAAATTTCAGGGAAAAAAATATTGTTTATTATGCCCACTGCCACCGAGAACAATTTTTTTCTTGTCTTTCTCAGTCTTTCAAAAATAAAAACAATGTCTTGTCTCAAGAGTCAGTAGCGGTGCCAGTGTCTGAAATCTGGGGAGGGGGTAAAAGAGAGGATAAAGGTGTTACAAACAACGTGATAGCATGAACACATGTACTTGCATTGAAAAGGATCTACTTTTGTTCCCCCAATACAGTTACGAATTATCACATTTTGTGCAAAATTTAAGAAGTAATATGATAAGGAACAAAGAAAATCATTATATTGTAGATTACAAAAATAGGATACATATTCCAGGCTAATCCATTTCTTTTATATATATTATAATGATGTGTGCTTAAAATTTATGTTTCTATTATATAACTAAAATAAGTAAAACATGTATGTATTACATGCGATTATTTTTTAGCTGCGACAAACAAAGTTAATTGAGCTATATCAAATGTTTTGACAGTCAAAAATCTAGTTTTAAGTAACCTTTAAAACAAAATTCATTGTTTTTTCCTTAATAATAATCGGTCTTATGTAACACATCATAGCAAGGTCATAATGCTGCTTCACATTATTATATAATATGAACGTGATCAATATTTACCATTCTAAAGATTGAACCTTGAGAAATGTTTGTGCACTCTTCCTAGCACTTTGTACACAGGCATGTTTACGTCAGAAAAATATATTTTTTATAGTCAATTACTGTTACACAGGTGTCTTTTAAATTGCTGGCACAATGCAATAGATAATCTGATGTAACAAATCTTGTGTCTAAAATTTTAAAAGATTGTTCTGTTGTTATCGTGTGCAGCTGGGCACTCGCTGTGTCGTAAGACGGACGTACAACAAATGCAAATCCACTCCCTGTGTGCACTCTGGGGTGGCACCAGAGGGGAGGCCAGGACCCCATCGGGGAGAAAAACCACAATTCGTCGGAGAGAAAAACAATCTACTGTATATGTATTTTTGACATATTGCAGTAGTGGACTCAAAAATTGATTAATGTACCTTTGAAACCCCTAAATCGAACACTTTTGAGCAATGACCGACCACGCCCACCTTTTTTTTTGTCTTGACATCGTCCACCACCCCCACCCCCCTTCGTCGGGGACCTCAGACCCCGTCAGACAAATCCTGGCACCACCACTGTGAGCACAAGAGGACGTGATGCCATTTGCTGATTGTCAGTGGCAATGTGAATGGATTGTCATTAAAAATGATCCGTTGTGCACACATCATTGAGTTGCGTTCTCCATAGAATCGCATCGGAAGGTGATAGTCGGACGCAGTGAACTGCTTAGCTTAACTTATCAATCAATCAGTTACTTAACTAGAGCGTCACTTTAAACTTTCAATTCATTTCTTAAGGCCAACTCAGACAGCGTCGGCCGACGCAGCCCGACCCGATTTATCGTCGGGGACAGTCTTAAGCTGTCGTGAGAAATATTAAACATGTTTAATATTCTACTACGCGACTGCCCCCGACGCACACCATCGCGTCTGCGTTTAACTCACACAGACCCGACGCGACAACAAATCGCGTCGTACGACGCTGTCTGAGTTGGCCTTTATGTAATCTCATTACGTACACTTTGAGTAATGCTTACCTCATAGTGCCACACTATTATGTATATATGAAAAGTAAACAGACTTAATTAGCAATATTTTTGATGAACGTGCTACACCCCCCAACTTTAGCCCACCGTACCTAAATGCATTGATTTAGTTTTTTTTTTATACAGTCAGAAATCTGAACAAGAAACAGAAGTAATTTAAGGCTTCAATATATTTATTTAATTATTTGTCTTTGTATAAACATTAAGAAAATTAGTTCTGCATTAAAGTGGTATCCCAACTTTAACCCGCTGTACCTAAATGAATTGATTTATGTTTTTTTATCCGTCAGAAATCTGTCATTTAATTTTAAAAGTAATTTAAAGTTTAAATGTGTTATTGTCTGTGTAAATAGAGTAAAGTGCATTAAATAATGTGAAATTCTATTTTATGTAGTATGTCCAAAGACTTTTATGGCATTAGAGCTATGCGTTCATCACTTATAGTTGATCCTAACCAAGTTAGGTTTTCTTGTATAAATTGTAAGATATTGATCTATTGTGCTATTTACTGTATTGTAATATGCCAAGTTTGTGTAAATAAAGAATAAATGAAACGTTTAAAAAGAATGCCTGCTTATACCATCCCCTGTCGATTAAATTGTTGGTTTTTGTTTTTGGTGCTTAAAAATATAAAACAACAATTTCAAAGAAGTTTACTAATATTTATTTATAAGGGTAATATAATTTCAATAACGAGTAACGGCAATGTACATACCAGACATAAAACTCTTCAATATGAAACATACAGAGATGCCTCTACCATAGGCCCTAAGCCTGTGAGAGAAACGAAAAGCGGCCTTGCGCGAAAAATTTGTTAACTGATGGTAAGATTCTTGCCGGGATGCTTGCCTTTTATTAACATGGGTCCTGGGTTAAAATCCTATCACAACTTCCGTATACTAGACACATAGGCCTATTTGGCAAAAAAAAACACCAATAACAATACAAAATGAAATGGTGAGTCTATGGTCAAAAGGCAATTGTTCTGTCGAAACTAACAGTGCCTTGGATTTACCCAGTTTTCCAGGAGATTCGGCGGTTGGCAAATTTTCTTGGGGTTTTTTTTTTGTGCTTTTTTTTTCCTTTAGGCCCATCCTTCAATCCATAATCGTTATAAAGAAACTGCCTGTCTTGCACAAGAAAGAGAGGATATAAATTTTATAGGCCTCCTCCTAATTGTATTATCACCCTTGACATGAATTAAAAAATGCGCAATTGGTCTCCCCATAATTCGATGTTAAGTATATAACATTTTCACGTTGTTAATATAAGGAACAGATAGAAATAGAAAATCGGCACAAGCTAGGTATTAAATTATGCCTATGCAAAGTAGTATAGGCCTACATCAATATTTTGATGTCATTTTAAAATAATGTTAAAAGCATATAGGCCTGTCCTATTGTGATATTACGGCTCAAAACAATGATTGTTCTTATTTAACCTTTACTGGTGGCAACTGCATGCAAAATCCATAACGTTTTTGTTATAACTATGACGCTCAATGGTATCTTCTGTCAATAATTAAATAAATAAATTGTAAAAAAATTTTTGCATGTTTTTTTTTTTTTATGTTCCATCAAACAACGTTTTTATGAAAAGAGCCCTCTAGAGTTTATGTATGGCAGTCGCCATCTTGAATTTAGCCGGCGTATGAAAGTTCCGAAAAGTCCATCCTAAAAAATCGTAATCATGGCGGCTAAAAGGGCAGCCAAGAAAGCTGTGGATTGGGCAGCATTTGCAGAAAGAGTTCCAGTCAACCAGAAATCTCAGTTTAATGCATTAAAAGGAAAATCAGACGCTATACGAGCTAAGTAGGTTCCTCCTTTCGCAACATCTCTTGCGCTAGCCTGCCTGGGCCTAGCGTTGCAGCAGGGTTCCGCTCAAGTGTGCGCGTAGCGGTGTAAGCTAGCATACATTTCACTGGGCTAGGTCTGAACGTAGGGTATGCATGTTTCTCAGGACTTCTGTAACCTAGGCCCTAGGAGAAGGTCTGTACTATTTATCGTCCGGTGTACAATATTGCATGGTTAATCATTGGCTAGGCCTAGATTCCTGCTTTCCAAAAGAAGCAAAAGTGTGCTCAGCCTCCGCAATGGATTTAAAATCAAGGATTTGGCCACAAATGAAATTTACATGTTGTAGGCCTACCTATTTATGCTTCCTAATTATTACATGGTAAAATTGCAATTACAGACTGCTCAAACATTACACAAAACAAAATTTAAAAATATATATATATAGTCAGCTAGTAGGCTAGCCTAGCCTAGGCCTGGTTGGGATTGCTCTAACTAACTCAAGTATAAAAAATGTGAAACAAGTTCACCATCATGTCATGGCATGGTCAAAGAGCTCTCATGGTTTCTGCCAACTAAACATTTTTTTTTTTTTTTACATTTTCGATAGCCTTTAATTTGACAGATAATGAGTTTTATTTGACCATAAAAAGTAATAGTGTTTGACTTACCCCTCTTTTTAATAATGGTGCTGTTTTCTTCAAAGACGGCTAACTACGTTGTAAAAGAAAATTAATGTTGAGTTAAGATAAGCTGAGGTGGTTAATGATTAAAATATCTGCTTTAATCTAAACTGTAGTGTATTGCTTATTGTACACTCACTCCTGTCTTGTGGTGCTGTGTTGCACAGTATATGTCTAAAGTAGGCGATGTCACATGATTTTTCAGTTGACTTGTGGTTTTGTTTATAACGGGCAGCATTTTCTTACCTTTGACATGCATGTCAACTCCTTTGAGAGACTGATATAAATAGGTTAATCTAACTCTTGAATATCAGGTAATTTTATGAGTCAGGGTGGGTATATTATCTAATAACTTAATGTTACCTTTGAACTTTTGATAACTAAGACTGTAATTTTAATAAATCATTAAATTAGCAATATTTTTGTAAATAAAAATGAAACTATTATTATTTAATTTTAAATAAAAATATTATATTTATAATATTCGCTTTAGCAGATATTAGGGACAATACAGAAAGAAAAGTGAAAGTATACTATCTACTGTAATTGTAATTTAATCTCCTTTAACGTCATTTAAGTTTGATTGGTAATTAGTCCGGATTACTCTAATAATAAATATATTGTTTATAATGTTCAGAAATATATTATCCATGATAACGCCCAAGAAAATTTCATTTTTACCTTCCACTGAGACATAGATCAAGAATACAGGTCTCCCTCCTATTAAGGACCACCTCCAATTAAAGACCACTTTTCCGTGGTCCCAAATTAACAAATGTCTTATCTTTATTATTCTAATGAGAGACCAAAACTGCTAAAGACCATGGAAACCCCATAAAAAGTTATCTTATTTTATATTATATAACTTTTATGTGCTTAATGTGATTTTATTTATTCAGGTTTATGGCTACTCCAGAGAAGCCACCAGCGATTGACTGGGCATACTATAAGGCTAGGGTCACCGTTCCAGGGTTAGTTGACAAGTTTCAGAAACAGGTATGTAACCAGTTTATTTATCATTATATAACATTATTGTTATATATTTTTTTGATATAAAGAATAATTTACTTAGAGGAAAACCCAAACTTACGATGTCCTGCACTTAGTCAAAATTGATTGAGGGCCTCTTACATGAAAAATGATTTAAGTACACAAAAACTCACCTTCAAAATTTCCAACAAAGAACATTTTTACCACAGTGAATCATGCTGTCACAGTGTTAGTGTCATGTCACTTTTACTATTATTGTTTAGCATGTATTTTAAATAACTTTACATTTCTTTTTTTGTTGTTCATAGTTTGCTGATGTTAAGGTACCATTCCCTCAAGAGAATGTTACTGGAAAGATAGATGAGCAGGAAAAACTTATGGTAATGAGAACATAAAATTATCAACTATTGACATCATCCCCATCACCATATTCGAAAAATGGACAAAATATTTCCGTACCTCCCTAAATTAGACATAGTTTTTAAGAAGAAAATTATGTTGACCCTTTTTGTTAATGGGGAAGCAAATATTGCATTGCATTCTGTTTGCTGGAAGGGGTAGGAAGCAGTTCCTCTGGGGGTTAGTGATGGTAAGTTTCTATTAATTTCTAGGGGTAGAATGCACACCTAATTAGACGAGACTTTATTCCTTGTTTAACGAACCCTCTGACTGCCAAAAATGATTATTTTTTTGAAATAAAAATTGAATTTTATTTTTGGCCAGTTAGCGCACCCTCCACCACGAAAAAATGCAAATTTCATAAAAAAATAGAATTTTTATATTAATTTTTATTATGCCCTCCGCTCCCCTCAAATAGGGGAAGGCAGTTTGGCGCAGCAATTTCCATTCAGGCTGAGGTTGTGAACCTCGTTGTCGAGGGTTAGAACTACACACTGACCATTCTTTGCAGGACATGATTATTTACCTCAGCTTGCACTGTTGACGGGTTGTGAAGTGGCTTTCACTATGTTTCAGCCCTAGGTGCGAGTATTTCATGGCTTATAAATTAAATAAATAAAATATTGTGGTTGCCTCTTACCAATATTGATAGTAACATTTTATTTTTATTTTTTTTCTCCCTCCTTGCTGAATAAGATCGCAAAAAAAGGGATAAAAAAAGTCCAGCCTTACGTTGCAAGGGTGAAAGCATGCCCCCTATTTGCTTGCAAGTTTTGATTGGCTGTTTTTTATGAAACTGTACATAACATTACTATTCTAGTCATGAATTTTTTCTCTGCAGGATAAGCAAGCTCTAGAATTCAAGGCAGCCTCTGAGGCCCGAATTGCAAAGTATGAAAAAGAGGTAGGAAACAGCTTAGACAAAGAAATGTACCAATAAAACCATTATAAAAATAATAATAACTACCATATACAGTTGAACTTGCATAAGTCGAATCCAAAATGGCATTGATAAACTGTTCGACCTAGATAAAATTTGACTCACAGATCATTAATCAATGGAAACACAACAGTTTGGCATGTAAAATAAGATTGACTTAAAAACTATTTGAGTAGGCAAAGTCGACTTATGCAAGTTTAACTTGTTCTCTGCAACAAGTTAAACTTGTTGCAGAGAACAAGTTATTGTTCTCTGCAACTACATAAATTTGAGCAAAACCAGCTCCTAGCATTCAGACAAGAACTATACTACATTCTGTTCTGTTCTGAAACAAGTTGCAGTTATCCCCATGTAAATATACCACACACGTTCACAGGGTAGAGTCATCGAATATGGTCATTATTTAGTAATGAATTTGCTAATTGTTTAGTCATAACCTAAAAGAGGGTATATCCTATGTTCTTCATTGGGATATTTTAAACTTAAAAAAAGGATTACCCACATCACATCAGAGTGCTTGTTTAATTTAATATTAAAATTTGATTGCTTTTCTTTTTACAGATAACTAAACTAAACGGAATGATTCCATTTGAGGAGATGACCATTGAAGAATATGTCGAGTATTTCCCTGAGTCTGCCGAAAATCTAAAGAAATATCCATGGTGGCCACACATACCCATCTGGGAACAGAAGGCCTAAGTAGAATCCACATCCAGCACCCGTAACATACATCAACCAATCAAAAACCCCACCACCCATAACATACATATACCAATCAAAAATATCTTTGTAGCCAACATGGCCTTTACTAGTATAAAGCGCCCTCTATCATTGTTGGATGAACTGCCTGTCACCGTAGCAATAATGCAAAATTGAAACTGTTTACACAATGCATTATCCTCAGGGTAGAAATATATATTGCTGTTAAGATGTTTCTGGTGTTTAAAAAAATTATTTCAGGATTGGGCTGATGGAATGTTGATGTAATATTCAATCTATTTAAGCAATTTGCTGTGTAATACCAATTTATGATTGTAATTTGTTCCCATGGTGACTAACATAGACATTGATGAATGCTAGATTCAAGAATAAATCAGAGTTATATTAATGATTGTTTAAGTGTTATTTATTATTGTGGTGCTTTCCTTTTTTCAAGAGCATTCTGAACAAGTGTGACAGCGCCACTGAACATTCTGGATATTGGCGCTATATAAATATTTTGATTGATTGATTGATTGCTAATTTTTTAGAAAATTGATGAATTTTAGTTCATCTTGTCAAATAGTGAGCACCAGTGACACGATGTGTATTGTTCGTTTGTGTGGAAAACCACGACAGAGAGAATGACAATGTTGGTGGTGCGGGTTCCTTATTACTATCTTTGGGTTCAATAATAAGTTTGACATAAGACACTGCATGAAACAAACTTGTAATTATTTTTTATAATTATTATTTTTCAAACTTTGTTAGTTATCTTCAGGAATTAAGATGAACAAATAAAGTTTGGAATACACTGCGTACTGTAGAATCATGATAATAATGATATTAATTCTGGAGACGTCTATAGCGCCAGTGTCCACGATTCAGTGCTCATGACAACGATAGCTTGCATTGAGCATTGATCTTTTGATGCTGAAGGATATAATAGGCTTACACAAGAAAATCACATCAAAATCCACAATATTACATGTTGTTTGTTACAACCAGGTAATAATGATGAGTATTTCAACAATTTTTGGCATCTATGCAGTGCTTTCCGAAGTTGAACATGCCAAAAGAAAATAGCATTTTTTTCTCTTGTCATTGGAAGCAATAACAATCTCCTTCGGGAATATTCCTAGTACCGTACATAATGCATGCCTGGATTTTCAGCAGACTTCTACTAGACTACTACACATAGGACACTTTCGTCCCAGTGGCAGCCTTTCAACTGGTCGCTGACCGTACCGATGCGCCTTTTTTAGAACTTAAAATGATAATTGTGATAATTATTACTGAACAAAAGTAATATACATATGCACCTTAAGTGCGCAAATATGGTATTGAATAATACCTTATAGAAGTGTTGAAACACGAGCCCTCTCTGCAGACCCAAGTTCCCCTAGTAACTGGACCATAACAATGTGGGTCCCAGTCTTCCCCCGTTGCATCCTACCATTACAGTACTTTCACTGCTTTCATAATCGGTATTGCAGTAAATATATAAAGCTCTTTCCTACAATGGAAGTAACACATTTTATCAATCTTATGTCCAAAATAATTTCCAAAAATAATCCATAGAATTCCTTGACAAAGATAGAACGGAAATTTTGTAAATGTCATCCTAAATATAACATGAATGAATTATATTAAGGTCATTGCCTTTAGAAAACGGTGTTCCTTGCCATTTATGTACGAGTTAACAATCTATTATTTGGCAACAGTACTACACACACCCAGCTCCGGGGTAATGTATAGTTCTAAGTTTAGTTAACTTTTTGCGTCACAATTAAAGTGAAGCTGGCAAAGAGAAGGTTGGCGGCTGTTGGAATAAAAAAAAATTCTTTAAAGGATAACTAACCTTCAGGATACATCATATTCTTATAGAAATATTCATAGATCAACTGCAGAGTTTCCGAATTCTGTCTATATAATACACATTGTTTAGTTGCTTTGCTCTTCGAATTTTTTTTTATATAATACAGTTAAACTTTGGTGGTAGACCCTGCAAAACCTGGGCTCACGTGATTAGAGATGACCGTCTTGCAAAGGGATTGAAAAAGAGCTTGCACAGAATCGTGCCGAATGAAAAGCTGCCATGATTACAAGTACAGTCTAACGCATGCTTGCATGGAATAATAATAGACTATATAAACTGATGGTGATGATGAAACTTGCCTATTTTCGACTTTTTCCCAAGTCGAATAATTTCCAAATTCATATTATTTTACATGTCGAATTCTGTTTTCCATGAATTAATGGTCTGTAAGTCGAAGTTGTGATTGGTCATAAAGACAATCTGGCTACTCAAAGAAAAAAATATGAAGTAAAAAAATACAAGATTTACTTTAAAAAATAAAATTAAATAATAACAAAATAAAAGAAAACTCTGTTAGTACAATTATTACTTGCAGGATATTGGCATAATGTTACCCTGTCAGACGTTTTTTTTTTCAACAATGCAAGATACTGATTAAAAAACAGGTAGTACTGAAAACAACTTGGGCAGTACACCTGTCAATAATTTTATCACCTGCTGATGGGATATCTGCATATTTTATGCTTCTTTTTTCTTACTTCATGTGCTTTCAACTACCGTACCTTTTGGGTTTATCTAAGTTTAGTACGTCTGCAAGGTGACAAAAACAAGGGGATAAAAACAGGAAAGCCTGACCTTCTTGCAGTAAACAGGTAATGCTCTCAATCACAGACAGGTGGTCTGAGAACAGAAAAACGTTCTGTTGTGATCTAATAATATAAGGCAAGGCAAGTATGAGTTGGCCTGAAGCTGTAAGGATTTATTGATAAAAATGCTAAAAATTTGGTGTTATTAGTATACAAGGTGTTTTAGGCAGGAGGGTAGGTTGGAGTAGAATATATATTTTTGGTTCTTCATTCAGGGATTATATTGTTTTACCTATACTCAATCTTGCATTTATGTGCATGTATGCGACGCAGATAAAATTAAATGTGTTAACAAAAGTCATTAACCACTGCAAATCAGTGGCGGATTCAAGGGGGAAGTGGGATGATCGACAGCCAGCCCAGGCCTCTAAATTTTTCCAAATTATATTAAAAAAAAGGAAAATAAGAAAATTATGTTTTAAAATTTATGTCATTTCCGGCCATCTAGAGGTGCCATAATCATAACATACCCCACATTCTGTGAAAATCCATCCGTCCCCACTCCCTTCTATTTTCTTTTGCTGGATCAGCCACTAGTAGACAGTTTCCGGAAATGACTTCTTCCAACTTGGGACCCCTACCATGGGCATTGGCTGGAGAGAGAGTGTGGGGGTGTATATACAGTGCCCCATGGCAGCTAATAGCTGTTCCAGGGATTTAGTTCCACATTCTCAATTTTCCCAACCCCCAATTCCTCATTCTCAATTTTCGCTCCCCCTTGGGTGAAAACCAACCTACAGCCATGCTTCCAAAGAAATGGTGATGGATTTTTTTTCTATGCATCTCCTATTATACATCATACTTTACCAATAATAGAAGGCATCGGCTCATGAAATTGGGTGTTTCTCTCATCTATCCATCAACATTGATCCAAAGATATAAATTTACAGATATCCCTAGTCTGGATTACGAAATTGAAAGAGAAACCAATTTGATTTTGCGCTGTATGATATATCAGGCTTTGTGAACAAAATTGAAGAGATTTACCAATTACAATACACAGCTTCATATTATTCTGTATTATTTATAGACATTGCAGGTGCCATGCCCTCAGTGCATGAACATCTAAATAATATGTTGATTTTTTGTTGTTGTAAAACTTGTATTATCACTATTTCAACCCAAGACTTATTGTCCCTAGTAAGATTTGCACTTAAAAGTCAGACTCCGGAGGAAAACAATTTTTGAATATGTTGTAGAAATGATTTTTCTAATAAAAATGGGGAACGGTGAATGAGATACAGATTTTTAATATTAAAAAACGGAGTAAAAGGTGTAAAAAACTGGCAGTTAATATTAAAAAATCTATCTCATTCACCTTCCCAGCTTTTTCGTCAAACAACTTTTTTTTTCTGTCTTAGAAAGATCAGTTCTACAACATATCAAAACATTTTTCCTATGTAGCCTGATTTTAATATTCTTGGAATTATCAAAGTTCATACATTTTGTTTCTCAAGATTTATTGCATGTTGCATGCATAATTCCAGAATAATTAGATACTCAATTTTTAATGTTATTTATAATGTATTTTGTGCTATATAAGTGTTATACTTCTTTTAGAGAGCGTGCATCCCCTACATTTCCATGTCTGATACACAAAGGACTACATAAAACCACAACTAGAAATATTCCCCAGGGAGGGGAAGAGGTTCCACATTGTGCATGTTTGTCTCGTGTTCAATGAACGGGGATAAGTAACAGACCTCCGGTTGTAAAAAAGGCACTAGACCATGATAATAAATACCCTGTACATTAATCTGGTGACTTTGACAAGCACTGTATTAAATGAAGGTTAAAAGTGAAATACGATACTTGTTGTCACAACATTTGAATAAGCCAACAACATTTTCTTGCCAACTTTCAAAATGGGAAACAAAAAAACTATGCAGAATTTCAGAACAAAATTATTTTTAGTTGGAAAGCGGAGTTTGCATGCCAAAATTTTCAATTCCATTATTTTCAGAGATGAAGTCATCCTTTGTTGCTAAAATATTTCTAATTCAAATCACTTTTGGTTGATTAAAGCAATGAGGTACTTATATTTGCCAGTAAACATTCAACGTGTTTTTTTTTTTTTTTTTTTTGTAGCAAAAAAGGACAGCCTGCGAATATATAATTAATGAGTCAAATAAAGGCAGAGGTGTATCCAGGATTTTTTCTGGGTGGGTCGAGATCATAATTTTTTGGACCTTTTTTCACAGTGAAATAACAGCAAGATGTGATTAAAATGTCAATACAATTTGCTTGAAGCGGATGGCAGGCTTAGTTTCAGAATTGCTGGAATTGAGATAGATTACGTCACGCAATTGGCAAGGTCTTTAGACTCATTGCTGGTACATCATCATTGGTTTTTCATTTATGTCATTGTGAAAAAACCCCTAGAAAAAAATGTTTTAGGGAAAAATGTGGACTTTTGAACATTTTTTTTTGTTGGGGGGGGGGGGTCGTACGACCTTCTCGACAGCTCCTTGCATACAACCATGAAAGGAGATTAATTAACGTTAATTGCTTAATCACTTTATCTGGTACAACTAGAAATACTCCTCAGGGAGGAGAAGGTTCCACATTGTGCATGTTTGTCTGGTGTTCAATGACCTGGGATAACAGACTTCTGGTTGTAAAACAAACTGGTGACTTTGACAAGTACTGTATTAAATGAAGGTTAAAAGTGAAATACGATACTTGTTATATCACAACATTTGAATTAGCCAACATTTTCTTGCCAACTTTCAGGATGGGAACAAAAAATTACACATAATTTCAGAACAGATTATTTTTAGTTGGAAAGCGCAGTTTGCATGCCAAACTTTTCAATTCCATTATTTTTAGAGATGAAATCACACTTTGTTGCTAAAATAGTTCCAATTCAGATAACTTTTGATTGATTAAAGCAATGACTAGGTACATATCTTTGCCAGTAAACATTCAACATTTTTTTGTAGCAAAAATGCAACGTCTGCGAATATACAATTAAAAATGTATTGTCCCATTCTAAGTACCAAAAAAATCATTAAAATATTTTTTGAAATTAACTCGCCCATTTTGAAGTAACATAAGTTATCAACTTGAACATAGAAATTAGTGTATTTAAAAAATGTCTACCCATCAGTCACTGGAAGTGTTTTATCATTTTAATTATAATTTTTTGGTTTAAAAATCAGGGTACACATATTTTAAATTAAATAAATTTTATGCACAAGTTAATAATTTGTATGCTATTGAAATATGAGCAAGTTTATTCCTAAAATTATTTTTTATGATTTTTTACATTAGCTAGGGACAATACATCTTTAATGAGTCGAATAAAGGAGACTAATTAATTGCTTAATCACTTTATATGGTTGCTTAATTATTCACTCCTCATCTAATTAATTGTTTTATATCAGTTGTAAAATCCATTTTGTAGAATAAACACTATTTGTTCCGGTTTAATATTTTGCGGAAAGCAAAGAAAGTACAATGATACATTAAACAATCGAATTGTGTATCAAGTAATTAATTTTAATTATATATTCATTCAACCATAAACTTGGAAACAATTCATAATTCTTAATAGCTTATTGACATTCAATTATTTTAATCTAATTATCATGTTTGTCCTTAATAATTTACCTCATTATTTTTGTAATTTCATTAACTGTAATAAATTCAATGTTCTGGTACAGACTAGGGCTTTGTTTCAAAACAGCATGCAGGCAAATCCTAAAAGAATATGATGAAATAATTTAAAAAAAAAAATTAATATAGGACTAATTACTATAGTATGAATGTGATTAACGTTCAACTACAGTAATGAAAATCAACCTGATATAAAGAAATGAAGGAATAATTGAGAATTGTTCTTAGATTCTGCTTTTAAAAACATTGGGACCATTACACAAAAAATAAAAACACACTAGAGTCAAGGTGAACCCTTTTAAGCTACATTTGAAGAATTGTTTGAGGGCAGCATACTATGAGGAAAATTCCACCGCCTGCTGAAATAGAATACTAATGTTACTTAATAAGTTAGAGTCCTGTTCGTACTCTACATGTGGAAGCAGGCTGGCGCAGCGGGAACGGTTTGGTTTTCCCAACCTCAAGGTCAAGCATTTCATTGCTCGCTGTGCTTTTCATTTGTGTCCCTGCTTCTCTCCACCCAGGAGTACAAGTGGGTTACTGGTGGGGCTGCCTGCCACCAAGTTGCATGGCCAAGCGGTTAAGATGTGTCGGTCGTTTGAGTCGTGGCTCACTCGTCTATGGTTATAGTGGTGGAACAATTCGGATAAGGACAATAAACCATAGGCCCAGTGGACAGAACTAGCTTGTGAGCACTTAAAAGAACCCCAGTACATCTTTCAAGACAAGTAGGTGTTACCCCGGAGTACTACTGGTCCACAAAGCCCCTGTTGTGAACAGACGAGAGTACAGATGGTACTGGTTTACCAGGAAGCTCAGACATAAAGTCATCATTAGGGGAGAAGAAAGTTTCTGTACGAGCTGGTCTACACCTCAACAAGTACAATAATCCTCATATCAGAGAGTCCTATACTCACTGGTAGACAGACAAAACACTTGCCCAATGACTACAATTAAAAAATGCTTTGTAACCAGCGGAAAAATCACTATAGAAGCAAAAGTAACCTGTATCCATGGTAGAAATCACGAGGACTAAGGCAAATTTAATTTAAAAAGCTTTTTCGTTTTCTTACCTAAAACAGCACACTCATAAAAATGTCCATGTACATGATTTACAAGAGTGACTTTTTCTAGATATTTAAGACAAAAATAGCTCTGATCTTCACCTATCTATTTCTCAATGACATATCAAAATGATAAGCCATGTGGAAAACTCACAAGTGAAGTTTACAACAAGCGTGCATGTGTGGTATTGCAAGAAAGAATGACAAAAATATTGAAAAATATATATTTTTCAGCATTCTCCTTCTTGTAAACATATTTCTTAAATAAGATATGACATATTGAATAAATATATTTGTCAAACCTTATTTATCCCTCACTCACCAAACATACTTAAAATGAATAATACAAAATCACATACTTGATAAAAAAAAAAAATCAAGTTAAAAATAAATTACAAATATTATTCACAGAAAGGTGTTTAAAAAAAAAAATTTAAATCTAAGGACTCCTCAAAGGGTTCCTGTATTAAGTCGGTGGTACATACATACACTGAACATCCATCATAAATGAAAGTTTACTTTCCCCTTTAAAAAATATAACTTAATATAATCATCATAAAATTCTTATTATACAATTTACCAGCAATTCTATGTACATGATATGCAAGGATGTGTATGAGGCCAAGTTTGTAAGGATCTGTCTATCTGGGGTATACATTTGTGATGATCTATGTGGGAATGTATCTGTTGAGTGTATGGGGTAAGCGTAAGTTTGTAAAGTATCCTGCTGTGACTATGGGCCTGTAAGTATCTGTGATGGCATATGTTTATGAGTATTTATCTGGGAAAACTTTTGAATGTGTATGTGAGCAAATGTTTTTCAATGCATGTGGGGATGTATTTTAATGTGTTTAGCGTTGTGAATGTGTTGTGCCTGTTTGTAGGTATGATCTATGTGGGTTTGTGTGTGTATGTGTGTACAGGTCTCTGTCAAATTACAAACCCCTCCAATTAAAGACCACCTTTTATCTTTATTATTCTAATTAGAGACCAAAGCTACTAAAGACCATGTAAACCTCAGTCCGAAATGTGGTCTTTAATTGGAGGGAGACCTGTATTTATATTTATATATGAAATACAGTATGTAAATTGGTAAAATACTATCACAAAAAAATTGTTTGTATTCATTTATGTTTGTACAATACCTTATTTTTTTTTGGTTTGGTGTTTTTTTTTTTTTGTTAGCATTTGTTGTATGTGTATTTGCAGCATTGTAAGGGTGTATGTAGTGGTGTCAATTTGTATGTACGTAATGCCTGTTTTCCCACTAGGCGAATTTATTCGCGCGAATCGACAGTGTTGGTTTGCTTCCTGAGCTCTGATTGGCTGCGCATTTTTTTCGCCTCGCAAAAAGTGTAAACAATTCGAACTACCAATTTCGCTGAAGCAAAAACTCTGATAGAAATGTTATTGTGCATGAAACAACGCTTTCGATTCGCATGAATAAATTTGCCTAGTGCAAAACCGGCTTTAATGATATTGTGTATATATATATATATATATATATATATATATATATATATATTTCTTTACTAGGATATATTATTGGTGCTGTGTCTGTATCCACTGTGCTACAAAAATGATGGCCACTATTGAACAAAAACATTGCACTTGTTGAATTGTAACTTGATTTCGCTGACAATCACTTGCTTCGAATTAAGTCTTCAATCTGCAAATAAATTAATAAAATTCATTTTAGTTAAATATTTCATTGATTCAAAGTAGTAGTAAGGTTTCATAAAAGTGCTTGCTGAATTTGTATATCACCATTATCAGTATGATCATCACTGTCGCTCGTTGTCATTGTCAAGGTCTTTGGTGGCTCTAGGATATATTTTCTGTGGGGGGGGGGGGGGCTGAGCTGTCCGACAGGGGGACTTTGGCTCGTAGGCCCGAGCTGGAGGAAGGGTTTGAAAGGGTGTTCCCCCTTCCAAATGAGATTTTCTTAAGAATAGGAACCTGGATGGCCAGAAATGACACTCTCTGATTGTGACAGACATGTGTTGGCTTGGCGTGGGCCTATTTTTATGTATATTTTAGTCCAACTGCCCTATGAGATCTGGGGGGGGGGGGGGGGGGGGGGGGCCTTGACCTGTCCGGCACCACCACTGTCGTCCTCCTCCTCGTCACATTTACATCCTATGAAGCCCTATCAAATTTTGTTTGACAAGAACTTGTGTCATGCCTAAATATGGTCATGATGACATCACATGATGACCATATATAGGCACATCATGACCATATATGAGGCTTGCCAATCCAAAACCAGTGTACTGTCGCTAATTGTTAATCTGAGTAATTAGCATTAGAATGTGACAGTATTGTATACCTTAGCACAGAGGAGTCGTAATTTACTCATAACTTTGGCAATAGTAAGTCGATTCCAGTAAATGATCCATCATTTTAAAGCTTATACTTTGTGGAGCATAAAATACATTAGAAAGTCAATTTTCATTTTTTGGTCACTGACGCTGGCTTTAGGATGGCAAGCCTTATATAGGCAAATAATGACTTTATATGGGCATACGACGGTTTTTTTTTGTTTTTTTTTGCGTGGACAGAGATTAACTGAAGTTTACCTGCTGCCTGTACATGGATTTCACATCCTGCAGATCTAGCCGCAGTTCTTCAACCTCCTCCGCTTTCTCACCATACATCTGCAGAACCGCATTGTAACGGTGCTCCAAATCCTGCAAGAAAAAGACCAATCCATCAGTCAATCAATCAATCAATCAATAAAGTGTCAACAAATTAATCAATCAAATGTCAACAATACATGTCAACAATAAATGTCAACATATTAAGAATTAATAAAGCATTCAGCCAACTAATCAGGTAAGAAAAAATAAATAATCGAATAAGAGAGGTCCCAAGTCTCCAGTAACTGGACCTCCCACACTCCTAGATTTAAGAACATCCCAAAAAATAACTTATCTCCCGCAAATTCACGATATTTGCATGTTTTTACTACTGTATTATCAATTGTCTCCCAAAAGTCAGTACCGATGGGTATAACACCATGCACAGCAAAATAAAATTAGATGTTAAAAAAGCTCATTAAACAGGTGTCCCAGCAGTGGCTTCTTCAAACTTGGGACCCCTGGAATAACATACCAATCAATCACTCAACCAGTTATGCAATATCAGTTTTATATGTGGCAAAGACAAGCCAAACCAATCACTCATCGCAAAAACCGATTTTCAGTTATTAATAAAGTGTTTAACAGTAAATTGAGAGTTATAAAATGGTATTAGAACCATTTACATCCGACATTTCCTTAAGAAGTTACAAGCGTTAAAACATAAGCTGTCTAAAGAACAATATTTGAGAAATCAGCCTTCAAAGTTTATGATTTCGGGCATTTCTCAGGCAGAAACCATCACCATGAATATGAATATTCAAAAGATAAATATATTTTTAAATTGTGTAATATTTAGAAACCTTAATGCAAGACTTTTATATCTTGTTCCGAGAACTTTTTTTTTTTTAAAGAAAAAAAAAAAATTTTGTTGTCAAAGCAAATAGGTTTGCATGAAAATCAAATTTTATTGGTGAATGTAAACAGTGTATTAATGGAATAGTTAAATTCTTTAAATTTATACAATTATGAAGAAATACACATTACTTATCAGAAATTTCAAGGGAGCGGCAGGCGTAATAAAAATATAGAAAAACTTCTATCTTTTTCTGAAATTTCCATTTGTGGTGTGCTAATTGGCAAAAAAAAGTTTAGTTTCATTTGAAATAGTCATTATTGGTGAGCAGCAGGTTTACTAAACAAGGTATAAACAAATTCTCACTTAACTACAAATGTTTATTCATCTTTGAACAGTACTGTACTATTATTAATTAATTGTATCAAATTAAAAAAAAAATTATTAGACAAATGTACATATTATGATTACCACATTATTATATTTTCCTTACATTCAATTTTCGGTTCAGGTCTGGCAGTACTTTGACCTCCTCTTCTAATTGTTCTTTCTGATTGGCTAGATTTACAATCTCTTCAGCCATTGACCCCCTGGTCCTCTCTAATTGTGTGATCTCTCCCTGGAAAATAAAAAATCAACATTTAGTTAAACAAAATGTTTATAAATGTGGTAAAGACAAGCCAAACCAGCCACTCGTCGCAAATCGTGTTTCAGAGATAATGGCCTAAACATGCTGAAATGTCATAATTGTTGATATCTATTTCATTGCACTAAACTAACCTTTACTACATATCTATACATCATGATAAGTTGTTATTTTCCTCATTTTCAATGTTAAAACAACAATTTTTAACAATTTGGTGATGGTTTCTGCCTGAAAAAATGCCTGAAATCATAAACTTCAAAGGCTGATTTCTCAAATATTCTTCTTTGAACAGCTGTATGTTTAAACACCTGTAACTTCATAAGGAAATGTCAAATTTAAATTATTCTTTTACCATTTTATAGTGCTCATTTTCATTTTAATAACTAAAAATCGATTTTTGCAATAAGTGACTGGTTTGGCTTGTCTCTGCCACAAATTTCTTTTTTACTTGGGACTTGACATCAAGAAATGGAACTTAGTGTACATGAAAAAAGCAACAAATGACACTGATAAAAATAATAGAAAAAATAGTAAAAAACTAGTGAATGAGAAAATGTAAAAATACAAAACATTTGTGACATAATATGCAATAGCTTTCATATATGAAAAGAGTCACTTAAGTTCTGCTTACTTGATACAGTGTTATTTCTCCTTCTCTTTGCTTTAATTGAGATTGTAAATTCTCCATTACCGATGTTGCTGATCCCGCAGCAACACTATCATACACGTTTGAAATACCACCTGTGATAGAAATTGTACGCTCCAAAATTTCACCCTGTAAAACAATATTTTGTTGATGTTACATGACTTGGGATTGCCGTATTAAACATAAGGATGAGGTGATGGTTTTTTTTTTTGGGGGGGGGTGGGAAGAAATGGGGGTGAGGTTCTGTTTCCTAAAAAGATAAGCCACCTATAATTATGGGGCAGAAATATCAAGACTTACTGTAAACCCCATAATTTTACAGTCATCCTTCATCATGAAAATTAATGTTGCAAAATTGAACAGCATATCTAAAGCCAGTACGAATAGCCTAGGCATCCAATGAATTGGAGCCAAACTCACCAAAATAGATACTTTTATATAATTTATAATCATATGTATTATTGAAAAAAAGAAAACAGCATTAATTGATCACAAAATCATGAAATTTATAGTCATAATTACACCAATTTCCAACGTAGAAAAGGTTCAATTTAAGGAGACTGCTTTACTATGGGATGGGAGATACCATTTAAGGGAGAGGTGATATTTTATGAAAGGATGAGTTACCTGAGATGGGGAGAATATTAATGGAGAATGGTGATGGTGATGTCGCTCATCTTTGGTTGGCGTGCTGGAGCGAGACGTGTGGCTGTGTGAGCTATTACTGTCATAATCCTGTGCTCGCTTTTCCTAGATATAAATAAGAAAAATACCATAAATTATAATACAAAGAAATAACTCCAAAAAAACTACTCCGAAATGCTGCGAGGGTGTCCAGTAATGGGTAGTTCCACCTATCAGAATAAGTAGTAAATATCTGCCAAGCCACAGGGCTTGTATGGGCTTGACCTTATCCCCGGGTTCATGGTAAATATTTTTGCATGTTATATATACAGGTATACTATTTTTTTAATGTTTAGTATTCTATCCCATCAAGCTACAAAATCAAAGATCTTACAATAACGAAATAGCGCTCTCCGCGATTCTACATGTAACAAACCGAAGCGTCGATGTTCAGTAAAAAGCAATAGAAATTAATTGTAATTGAGAGAGGGCATTCTAGTTGTTATTCTGGTTGTTTTCCAGATTTTGCATGTATGATCACGGATGCCAAAGTTAAAAAGAAATTGTAATTGAAAGAGGGCGCCCTACACTGCGTTATTACAGAATTTTCACACAGGAATCGTGGAGAACTCTATTTTGTTATTATCTAACTGTATTTTGCTGCATGGGGTGTTATTCATGGCCAGACAATTTAAAATTATAAAGTTGCAAAAACCATGTATTCGTAAAGGATTTGTACAAAACAATAAACATGCACATGTCTCAAACAAACAATTGGCAATTTTATTGATTTTCATATGGTTACATGTTCAAGAGAATTGGATTAATGACGTGATATTTAAACTCAACAACTTAACAATTTTGTAGGGAGTTGTTGCAGGTGTGTTACAATAATGATTTCAGAAAATGTCTGGGGCTTCCTAGACACTATAGTGCTAGTCAGATGTTTGTTCCACCTTTCCATGAATTCTATAGAAAAGCCTGCTATGATTCCATGATTAGAAGGATATATAATAACAATACTCTTGTAAATGCTGTTGTGAAATCTTGCATGTATGAGTCTAAAATGTATATGAACTGGATGAGACACTTGGAACACCTAGTGATTTTATTGTAGTCTATTGTAGGCCTACCATTATTGTCTCTTCAAAATATCAGACACCCGAACACTGTTTATGTGGATTTTTATGTGCTTAACTGTTTTTTATATTCTTTCTTGTAATGTGTTTTTATATAACAACCTGAAATAAAACTGAAATTTAAATTGTATGTAGTAAAGATACCACTTGAGTATTGTTAATCCCCTAGTTAATTACCAAGGTTAATTACCAAGGTTAGTTAGCGGGCCCAAAATCATTTTCATTTTTCTTTCATGTTTCTACATTAGTGGGTCGAGAGCTCAGCTCTGGGTGGAGTGTCCTTACCCTAGGCAAAGTCAATGAAAGTCTTTAAATGAAATATAAACAAATAAAATAAATTTTAAAAAAAATTTAAAATCCATAAACCAGCAAACAGGCATTCAATGATCTCATTTTACTAACACTGACGTATATACCCCAGTGGGGATTCAAATTCAATCCTGGCAAAGTGACATGGTCTTTCTCACAAGCAAAAATGGGTCCAATCCTCAAAAGTCTTTAATGATTAAATTTACAACACCTCTTATCCTTATCAAATATGTTGAAAGTAAATAAGTGAAGTAACAAAAAAGATTTTAAAAAAAAGAAGATTTAGATGAATAACCTATAACACCATATCCATTATTAATTTTAAATTATTTGAAACGATTAAACATATTACAAATAAATGTTTCCATGTGAAAATAAAAATAAACATTGAATGTTAATAATAATAAACTCACTTATATATTATCAAAAAGGAATAAAATGATTTTACAAACTGAACATCAATGACAAATGTAATCTTGTGCATGACAAATATCCAAGGTTGTTTTCATGCAATAAACGAGGGCGCTCTTTATGATAAGAAAAATATGATAGCATGGTGACTGAGTGAGTAACTTACAGACTGGAAACTAGGTGCTTCATAGTTGTAGAATTTGAATCTAGATGTCTGGGTATAATCAAAGGTTGAAGGTTAAGAGAAGATGTGTTTAATTGGAAAGGAAGCCCCTCAACTCATAGTCTTGGTAGAATAATATGAATCTAATGAATGTCTGGATATAACCAATATATATAGAAAGATATATTTTGTTTAAAATGTATTCCCTTACAAATAAAAATTATTTTGATAAAAGAAATTCCTCTCCCTGTACAAGATACATGTTTGTTGTTGTGTGTCCTTGTGCAAGGCACTTTATCTGCACTGCCTCCCTCCATCCAGGATTATAAATGGGTACCTGGTGGGGTTGCCTGCTCCTGTGTTGATTACCAGTAGCAAGACTTAAAGCATGTGGACCCAATGACCAGGGAAAAGAACTGCGCTTTATAACCTCAAGGAAGAGGGACATTATAAATGTCCATACCAGTACCAGTACAGTTTATTAATATCTTCATTGTTCATCAGCTTAAGGCATAATTGGGTTATGTGGGAGAACAATAGATATCTACTGAACAGGATACCCAGTATAAAGAAGACAAAGCTAAAACAGTGGAATCAGACCAAAAGGTACCATTTATAAATATCAAAGACAGATGGCACAACATGATCTCCATCCTTCTATGCAAAAGACAGTACGACTCAATACAATGAATTAATCGTACTTAGACATGAGGCTATTAATCAAAACCAGATGGCAATACCTTTTCTTTGATGGTGTCTTGTGCAAGAAGGAGTTTCTTGTGCTCTGCTTCAACCTTCATCTTCTCAACCTCCAGCTTCCTCTCCAGCAGCGCTTTGTCCTTCTGCAACTCCTCCAGGGCTTTAGTATAAGTTGCACGCTGGGAATCCATCTGAAGAGCATCACTGCCGGAGGTAAAAGTGTAAATTTAGTTTAAAAAATGGTATCATGATGGGAAAAAGCAAGGGAATACAACTCAAGATTGAGGTGATGTGTAACTGAGATGGTTTCCAAGTATGTTATTGTCTTAATAGTTCATTCTGGTCATCTAAGGTTTCAAAAGGATTGCATTTCTTAGGTTTTTATGATGAGATTTAGTTTATGGAGCATCATATAATGCCATCTTCTATCTAATTTGAGTGTATGTGGTGCTGGATGTCTTACCGATCGACTGTGTCCTCCAGTGTCTGCAACTTTGACTTCTCCATCTCCAGTGCTGTTAGGTACTTTGTCTTTTCCTGTCTGAGCAGAGCAACCTGCGATTCCAATGATGCTAATTTTGAGTTGACTTCCAAGGAGCCTTCTGCTGCTAGCCGTTCCTTCTCAGTGGCAGTAGCTAACTGGGATTGGCACTCTACAAGCCGCTCTGTCAGGCTTTTCTCCACCTGTTCCCAGGTGCTTGACTGGGCGTTGAAGGTAGCTTGGAGGTTTTCAATCTGCCGCAACAGAGGTTTGGTTGCTAGAGAGTATGCAATTGTTAATTATTAGTAAATTACATCATAATCAGCATAGCATCATCTATCTCAACTTTAACATCATAAACATCAGTGCCATCACAATCATCAACAATAGTCATCATCAAAATCTCCACCAATCATTACCATCATGATAAAACTATTATTTCCAACAGTTACACTACCACCTTTAACTTCCAGCATCTATTATGACACTATACTAGATAGTAGAAATCTATTATTAATTTTCGTATCACCTGCTGAGACATTTTGACTAAGTTCCTGGTTCCTATCCTCTCCTTCTTGGAGGCGCTGTTGTAAGTCACCAATTTCCTGCTTCAACCGGTCTTCTTTACGAGCATATTTCTGGTCTGATCTTGACAAACTCATCCTTAAGTCATTTACCTGCAACATGTAGAAATAATAAATCAATCAATTTGTTTATCAAAGTCTAGGCAAATGTGTAAAACATGTACTATAATGGATGGATGATGGATGGATGGATTTATTCGGTGTAAACACCAAGGATAACCCACAAAAGCCTAAAAAAGACTTATTTCCAGTGGGGTCCTTCTGTGGTGATTAGGCAGTACACTGGGAGACTTTCCCCTACCCTTTTCCAAATAGTGTACCACGTTCTTTAAGGTGCACATGGGCTGTAATGCACACAGGACCAATGGCTTAAATGTCTCATCCGAAAGACGGTATCGTAACTTTCATTTCAGTCTTCCAGCTGAAACACAAGATCCGTGATGGGAATTAATCCGGGGACCTAGAGATCTCCACGGTTCAGCGCACACACAGTGACTACCCCCAGTTAAGCTGACTGAGCTAAGCTGCTAATTGATTATTGTTCAATCATTGTTCAATCATATCAATAACAATTTTTTGAAACATATTAATATATTACTCAATTTTGTAACATTATACTTCAACTTTTATTGATAACAATTGCAATAAAAGAGAAATATAAATATCTAATAAGAAATCTAAAAATCTAGTATAATAGTATTTCAAATTGAAAATATATTTACTATAATACAGTATACTTTTTACTTCAAAAATGCATTATTATTTATTAGTTTCATGTTTTTAAACTGCTTTACATATACCTGTAGTGCTAGCGTTTCCTGATCCATGCGAGACTCCTGTTGCGCCCTCTCTAGTGCTAACCTTAATGACTCTTTAGCGTTCATTTCAGCACTCAATTGGCTCTCTTGTACCATACTATCCTTTGCTGCTATTTTTTTGTTCAATTCTGCTATTTCTCTAAAAGAAAAATGCAAAGTGTTCATTTTAAAATTTTATATAGAAGTGTTGGTCTATAAACTAAGTTTTTATTTTGTGAGAAAAAAAATAATCGCAATAATCAATTATTATATGATTACTTGCAAATATAATATGAAAATATTATGACTATAACATAGCTACTATTTTCGATTACCAATGCCTTCATAACAATCATTATTACCAATACCATTATTAACATCATTATCAATTATCATTTATTATTATTTTTGATAGAATTATGGTTATGTTACTATAACCTACCTTAAGGTGAAATTAGACAAAGAAGAAATTAGAGAACAATTAACAAAACGACTCTAAGGGGAAAATAACATGAAGTTGCGGGGAAAATAACACAAAAGATATTCCCCTTAAGTCCAATTTTATTTTTACCAGTATTATTATCAATAACTATATTAATAAAATTACCATTTCCATTATCAATACTATTCACCATAATTACTTTTATTATGAATATAAAAATGTGAGATTAACAGTACAGTAACATCTCCCAATTATGTATCCATGGGGTGTTTTTTTATATTTAGCTGATGTAACATTTTATGCTATTTTCAAAGACTTTTAAATACAGTTTTAAGTGTATTTGTAGTTAAAAATAATCGTTCCCAATGACATCATCGCAGCAAACTGAGTTTGTAAAATCGAGTGTTTGTAATTGGGAGATGTTACTGCACTTCACGGTCTAACAAAAATTCAATTAATTCTAGTTTTCATCCAAACAGTGGAAAATTTAAAGTTTCATGATGAGTTTGAAGGTCAAACAGTGATCAACTAACTTGTATGAAGTGTCTAGTGCTGCTTGTGTACTGCGGATCTTCTCTCGAGATTCTTCGACCTCTAACCTCAAAGATTTTACCTCCTTTTCTTGCCTTTCAACTGCAGAATTTAATACCTTGATGCCCTCTGTTAGACAAATAGAAATGAAAATGCAAATCGATTACCATAATACAGGTGTACAAATGGACAGGTGTACCTTCCAGCTTGTATACCTGTGGTAAGGTGAATGGGTGTACTTTGGAATAGGTATACATGTCAACAGGTATACTTGTGAACAGGTGTACATATGAACAGGTGTACCAATGAATACAGGTTCGTTTATGAACAGGTGGAACAGGCGTACCAGTGAACATAGGTCCACCTATGACAAGGTGAACTTATGACATGGTATTCCTGTGAACAGGTGTACCTATGGACACCCTATGTAAACAGGTGTGTATGTAAACACGTGGAACAGGTGTACCATTGTGTAAGTGTACATTTGCACAGGTATATCTATGAAAAATCAGAATGCCACTCCTGCAAATACGAATATGCTTACCTTTGTTTTTCTTTTCAACTTCTTCCTTAGCATCTAAAACTTCTTCAAGGTGTGTGACCCTTTCTTGTGATTCTTTTAATTGTTCACTGAGAGAAAATGAATGCGAGAAAAAAATGAATAATTAGATTTTAGTATCAGAACATTATTCTGGTCAATAGCAATAACTTTAGAAGCAACTTTAAGACTCACTTTAAAGACTTCAGGACTCCTTCTGTCTCTTTCTCTTTGCTGCGCAACTTTTTTATGATCTTGGAATTCTGAAGCTGCTGCTTGGATAACTTTTCTCCTTCTGCCATCAATTCTGTTATCTGTTCATCTTTCTCTTTCAGGTCCTCTGCCATCTTGGTGTCACCTTCCCTGAAATCACATAATCAACAGAATTAAACATGTGAACCATTTTATGGTTCAGGAATGGGCAAAGTTGGTATGAAAAGAACATCAAGCATGACTGGTGACGCATTGTAGTAGCTTATATACAAATGAACATAACCTGACTTGAAAACAATAGATGACATATCAGTGGACCTCAGGAGATGTTCACTAAATGTTTTGATGAGCAGACCCATGATTCTGAATGACAGGGAGACCAAAGGCAGGTGGAACTACTGTTTTGGAATCTATCTTTAATAGTAATAATTAGTTATTAAAAATGGGTGCTCTTTGAAATTTTCCACTCTGTAAATTTTGAGTAGCATAGAAGCTAAGGGGCTCACATGTCAGTGGCGTGTCCAGAGGTATTAGGGCGCTTTTGATTGCACGATGACGGTAGGACGTAGAACGTAATGACGTCAATAATAGTCAACATTAAGGTCACCTCGTTGAGTAGATTCTGGAATGCAATTTGGCCAAATCTACGTATGCAGAGAACGTAGGATCCCAGGTAGAATGGTCACGCATGAGTGATTCCGTTCTAGCATCGCGTCGTCGCACAAATCGGAAGCTCCCTATTAACAAAATGACACAATGGGAAAAGAATTCGTCGCTCACATCACGAAACTAACACAATCAAAGTAGATTGTGTTAGTTCGTGAAATCACAGTAGCGCGTCAAAACGAGTGCGTATTGGTTGTCAAGCAATTTTGTATTCTTTACCACACAAAAAGTCCTTAACGACAACAGCGCGTATTTTGACGTGCTTTTTTGATTTTACGAACTAACACAATTGAATTTAATTGTGTTAGTTCGTTATGTGAGCGACGAATTGTATGGATGACAGATGGGGAATGAGGTGATTTTTAAGATTTTGTGTATTTTTTTTTTTGCATAATAAATTCTCATTGGTGTTGCCTTGAAGGAAGGGAGTAAAAAGTTCAGGTATTTTCTAATTATAGCACTTTTTCACAGCATATAGCTACCTCAATTTTTGATCAAGGTCTAGAAATCGAGTGTTCATTGTTCAAATTAGGGGAAAAGGCACAACATATGACCCACTAGTAAACTAACAAATGTATATTTTCATGAACCAAACCTTTATGACACACCCATATGTTAACAGGACTACAAGATCAAACGTGTGATAAGGATTGTTCGTGACACGCTATTAAACGATCACAAGATTGCCATTCAGGAGAGCTCACAATGCGGAAAACTTCATGAACTATGACCTAGTCTCATTATGAAGTTCATCATACTTGCACTGCTGAATGTTAGCCAGCTGCTAATAGATTTACATGGACTATATACGTCTAGGATATCAAGTGGCTTATGTAAACACTTGTTTACTCAACGGTATTTAGTCAAGTGTTCAGTTACTATCCTCTGTTGACAACCTATCATTCGTTTGTCCATAATAACAAGTGAAACATATTGTATATTTCAATGATGGCACTATTCCAATAGATTAATTGAGATGATGGAATGTTCATTATGAGGCATTACAAGAGAATATGCTAACGGAAGGTGGAAAAGAAATTGTTGCTTTTATGACATTACAATACACTATTTACCTTTCTTTTAACAACTTTTGGGTTGACGTCAACTGCTTTTTCAGACTGTCTCGTTCCTGTAAAAAAACAAATAATCAAGTCCTGCCAGCTGGTATTGGTAATAAAGTACACAGATTGTGTCAATTCCTCAGCTGTTTTTCTAGAAATGACTGACGACAACAACAGACATCCAGTGTATTTATCCTGGACTTTTTAGATTAAGAGACATGCCTGCATATTAAAATTACAATACGTTCGATGCAATAAACTTATAAACATAAGAACTATACAAAATGCAATAGCTAAGTATAATTTAAATGGCTATGGCTTGTGGATAGAGATATCAGATAGCAATTACTAGGTGTTAGGGCAGTGGGAGGAGGGGGAATTTATACTAAAGGAACTGAAGGTTACACCACACTGAGATCGATGACACTTCCTACCTTTTGAGAACCTTGCAATTTAGTCTCCATTGATGCGAGTCTGTTTGTGAATTCTTCTGTTAAATTAGTAATATCTTTCTGTTCTGTTTCACGCAGCTCCTCCACTTGTTTCAATTGACTGAAATTTCAAAAATTATATAATATCAATAAAATCTCTATAAAAGAGCTTAGTCGACTAAACTGGTAATAGCCATTGTGTGTGTGCTGAACCGTGGAGAACTTTTAGCCCCTCCGGTTCGATTTCCCTTTCCGTCCTCTTTGTACTTCAGCTAGAGGGCTGAAATGCAAGTTACGATAGTCCATCAATTTTTGGATAAGACGTTTAAGTTGTTGATTCCGTGTGTATTATGGCCTATGTGCATGTTAAAGAATGCAGTACACTCAGATTCGAAAAAGAGTAGGGGATTGTCTCCCGGTGTTCTGTCCAATCACCACCAGAAGGACCCCACTGGAAGTATGCTTTCTTCAGACTTTGGGTTATCCTTGGTTGTTTACACCAAATAAATCAATCCAAACAAACAAGTGTATATGGCTAGGAACAAGTTTGACAAGGATAATGGTGGTATTTATACAATTCAAGTATCATTGTTGGCGGGGATATGTTTTACAATCAGTTGAAAGCTAGCAACATAATGGAATATATGAAGGGCGCAATTGTAATATTTTTTAGCTCCCATGAGGAGCTCTAGGAGTAATAATAATAATAATAATGTTATATTTATATAGCGCATATTGCACATTGCCCCTATGTGCTTTACAAAGAAATAATATAGGCCAACTGGGAAAATACCCTGCTGATTGATTAATTAAATTAATAGATCATTTTTGTATGGGCAGCCACTATGGCCACTAGAATCACCCAACTGATTGATTAATAGATGTTTTTGTATGGGCGGCCTTTAGGGCCAATATACTCTATTGCCTCTATTATACTGACGTCATTTTTTAAAATTTATCAGATTCAATACAAAGTAAATATATCTTTAACAACAAAAATTTACTGATATTACTAATTGCAAGTTATACTTCATTGAACACAGAATTGCAAATAACCAGAGACCATTAGACAATAATAACTGGAAGGTACAGGCATTGAATTTATGATACGCAGTTCACTAACTTTTTAAGTAAAAAAAATCCACAGGATAATGTCACAATGTGGGACTGAACAAAGATTTAAAAACTAAATGTATAATATTGTGAAAAAATATATGTATTTAAAGTGAAATGCTAACACTAACAAGTGTCTTTGTTAGTGTTTGAAATGCTAACACTAACAAGTGTCTTTGTTAGTGTTAGCGTTAGCATTTGACTTTACTTTTTCATTCTTTCGATACCTTACTTTGATTATCTGGGAAATCTTTAAAAACAAACAGTAATCTTATCAAATTTTAAAACACATTGTAAGACATTTTTTTTTAATTGAAGCACTTTCCATGTTGGTATTTTAGTGTAATACTAATTATTGTATTTTTCCCCCCTTGTTTAATAATTTTATCTTTCACTGATATTTAATTGTTACATTAAACTGGACCATATGGTAGATCAATTTTAGTGTGCTTTGTCAATTTTATTAATTGTACATTAACTTTCACTGAATATGTATCCTGAATAAATATGTTGCATAACTGGGCTGAGCGTTTGGCTGAGAGTTAATGTTACCGCTTCTTGCTGTGTAGACGCTTGTTCAAAATAGGCCAGCATCGGGTTTAAATTGGAGTCCGTCTGATCTGCTCCTTGAAAAACCCTTGCATGAGAGTTAGGCGGGATAATTCTCAATGTATGTTATTTATTGGAACTGGAACTGCACTGTGGCTTCCACAGGTAACCAGCCAAAAATTCCAATTTCATTTATGTGGCAAAGACAAGCCAAATCAGTCACTCCTCACAAAAAATTCATTTTTAGTAATTAATAGTAAAATGAGAGCTATAAAATGGTAAAAGAATTATTTAGATCTAGCATTTCATTATGAAGTTACAGGAGTTTGAACATACAGCTGTTCAGAGAACAGAAATTACCCTTCAAAGTTTATAATTTCAGGCTTTTCTCAAGCGGAAACCCATCACCAACTTGTTAAAAATTGTTGTTTTAACATCAAAAATGGTGAAAACAACAAGCAGCATAGTTAGTTTAGTGCAATAAAATAGATTTATAAATGACAATCCAGCATGTTTGGGTGACGAGTGACTGGTTTGGCTTGCCTTTGCCACATATTTGGAATTGGACAAAATAAAAAAATTAATTTAATTTTTTTTAATTTAAAAATTCTTAAATTGATTTTTGGATCTGTTGTACAAGAAAATGTAAACAAGTAACCATTAAATACCTGTAAATATTAACTAAATAATAAGGAATTATATTTTATTTGCATAATACATTTATATGACCGACTCATGTTCATGTAGGATAAAAAAAGGCTGATGTAATATTAATTTAATTATGAGAAATTGCATATTGCGGAATCATATTACATGCTTCACATATAATATTAATAAAGTTGTAAACACAGAAACACTTGATCAAAGGCATATAAGCAAGACTTATTAAATAATTGTTGGAAAAAGCATTATTTAGTGTAAAGCTGAAGTAATATTAATGTAATTCTCAGAAAACGCATAATGGTCAGGTCAATTTAATATGCTTCGCACATAATATCAATATGGTAGGAAGGAACAAACAAAGAAACATGATCGAAGCTAAAAGCTGGGCATATAATTAAATGATCATACACACCCAAACAAATCAAATTGCATAGTAATTACACAATATACCATCTGTGATATGCTAAAACACTAAAATTTTATATTACAATTGCATATTTGCAGGGGCGGCGCTAGCGGGTGGTCTGGGGGGAAAAGGACCCGGCGCTTGGACCCCCTGTCGGGGAGAATTTCCAGAAAAGTCATCATGGAAAAATCAAATCTCGAGTGCTCGAAGTACAATTTAAGCACGCCTTAAAATACTAAACTGTCAAATTTTAGGGATTAAAAACTGCAGTGCTATCGTATGTTGTATATTATTGCAATCGTATGGGTTGTAGTGGTAGTGGTTTCCTATCAAATTATCCTTTTTCAATAAAGAATCCCATAATTAACACAACATTTTATTATAGATATATTTTGTATTCAAAGAATTTTATCTAGTTACTGTATACTTAGGTTTAGATTTTTTTTTTGTTAAAAAAACAAAAAGAAAAAAAACTGTTGTTAGGAAAGCCTTTTATAGTGATTTAGTTCACTTCTTCGGTATTATTGTTTTTGTGTTACTATTGTAATCAGATTTAAACATTATTTATTTTAATAAAATAAGCCACATGAAAAGTGTACCATTTATTGGCCAGAATGTACAATACAACAAATACTTCCATGACATCACACTGTAAACAAATTACACGATGACTACACGATGTTTGGATTTCCACATGCTAACTATAATCGGACAATAAACAAACCTCACATTGACCTTGCTATAGAAATGTGGTTCAAAGAAGGTATACAACGTGAAAAGTAAAAACTGAATGCCTGTTATATTGTTGCCAGTTAATATATTGTTCAAAATTGAAAACATTTAGGCTATGTTCAGTGTAGCGCTTAAGCAAGACTTGACTAAAGGATGCTGAGTTTCATCCATGGCTTGAAAACAGTCGACTATTCCAGAAGTGGACATTTTAGCTAAAAACCTTGGAAAATAATTATATATTCAGTGTACTAGAAATGCTTTAGAATCTAAACTGTAATGTTTTATGACTATGAAAACAGAACGGAAAAAATTTTTAAAATCCATTCATTCTTTATCATACCCACAAAAGAACTCTTTTTTCTTTCAGTAAACAAAATGGAAATGGAAATCGACTTGTATAGTGCCTTACACAGTTAAAAATGGTCTTAAAGTGCTTGGAGAATATGAAAGAGAAAATATGAACTATCCTATAACTAGTAACAATCTACCAGAGAATCAAATTAAGAACGAGCCAGTATCACTGCACTGTTGTCCAGCAATTTGAGACACATGGACTGCTGGAATAGTAGGACTCCTCAAAGGCGACTAATCTAACCTATCCTATAGGAAGAAACTAAAACAAGAAAAAATATAAAAAGGATTTTGGCGAGTCGGATGGCGAGTCGAATGGCCGAGCAATTAGCAGGGGCGCCGCAAGCTATAGCCATAATATCGGCGCTGGTTCGAACGGCACGCTCGCCTACGGTTCTGATGGTAGAGTCTTCTCGGATAAGGACTATAAACCGTAGGCCCAATGTATACAATGGCTTGTGTGAACTATAAAGAACCCAGTACATCTTTCGAGACGAGCAGGGGGATGCCCCGGTGTACTGGAACAGACAGCCCCTGTGGTGGAGGACAAGAGTTGCTGGTACCGGGTAGCACAAACACGAAGGGACCCTTAGGGGCGAAGAAAGTCATTGATCGAGTTCCTAGTCCACATATCAAGCGCCCTGAGCACCTTACATTAGATGGATATGTGTGCACTACATAAATCTATGCTATTATTATTATTATTTTACAATGTTAAGATCATCTTTCAATAATATGGACAACAAAAATTTAATTTTTAACAAGATTTTTGGCCGACACAGGTTTTTTTGACCTACTAAAAGATACCTGTGTCGGCCCAAAATCTTTTTAAAAATTAAATTTTCGTTGTCCATATATTTAAAGATGATCTGATCATTGTATAATCCTTTTATTTTTTTAAATAAGGTTTTTGTATAATTTTAAGACCTTGTTTACTAAATGAAGATATTCAAACTCAAATGATGAAGACAAATTATGATGAATATTCATATAAATGATGATGTCATTGAAAACGGCAGTTAAATCGCTTTCACTTACCTGCGAAGGATGTTATTTGTCTCTTGATTATCAATAGCTTGACTGCTGAGTGTCATAATCTGTCGTTCTCTTGCTTGCAATATTTCTGCTTGTTCAGCTAATTTCTAGAGGTTAAGAAAATTGACATAATTAGGAAATAAAAATTCCCATATCTTCATGTTTACCATACATTTTGTAGTAAGGGGGGAAGAATGTTTGCACAGTGCATAAAAGTAGTATGTGAAAATGTCATCATCACTAGCTCATTTTGCACACGGGCAGATTTAGGGGCTCCCCCGGCCTTTTGGAAAGTCAAAAAGGAAGAAAAAAAAGAAAGAAAAATGAATATTGATCGTCTAAAACGCCTCAGAGATTATTTTCGGGCATCTAGAAAACAAAACTTTTGCGGGGAAATTCCCCCCGGGGTACTAAGCAATAGAAATTCACTCCACTCCACACAGTAACTTCATTATCAAATGAAAGTTTTCGTTCTGAAAATATTATAATTTTGAATACTATAAAAGCAACAATTTACATACTGTATACAGTAAATAAATAAAATAAATTATCAAATAAATAAATAAAATAAATATCTTGTCAATAACTATAGGAGAAATCATGAGCCTAATTGCAATTACCTTCAGTAATTTATCCGATTGTAAAGGATCTTGTGTCAAAGGTGAATGTAAATTCGGGTCCAAACCTCCTTGAGAATTTTCAACACTTTCTTTTGGTTCTGAAGTGTCTGCTAATGAGAATATAACCGATATAACATTTGAGGTATGAACTCAAAAATATTTTCCACAGTAATAAAAATTTCAGAATAAAATATAGATGTTTAAACTATTTTATGTTCAATTCAACCCCTGATGCAAAACATTAACAGAAGATAAAAAAATGAATAAAAATCAAAAAGTTACAATCTACCTGTGTCATGTAATGGTCCTGGAGTATCTGCATGCTGGGCAACTTTCTCCGCTACTTTTAACAACCCCTCTTCTAACTTCATTGTCATTTTAGGCGGAGATTCTTCACTGCTTCTGTTATCTTCACCATTTTCATCACTTCCAAGCGGTGTTGGTGTACGTCTACCACCATGATCACTATGACTTGGTGATGATTTCTCCGACTCTGTATCGGCAGAATATGATGGTGAGAATCTTTCTGAAAGAGTTATTGGTGCCTTGTGCAAGACTGCATTCATTGGGATACCTTCCTGCATTTCGCTGAGCTTCCCATCAGATATCACACTGAAATCACTGTCAGGACTTCTCTTTCCGTTTGAAGAACACGACATATTCTTCGGAGATGAGACAGCAGATGACTCTCGCAGATCGTACACCGATGATATCTCACTTCCATTCCAGTCACTGATCACAACAAAATCGCTATCACTCTTAAGGGACATGTGGTCATCACCAGCATCAGATTGGTCAGATTTTCCATCAGATGGTGACTCGCTGGACCTCCTATGCAACTTCTTTACATCATCATTAGCTTTGTCTTTGACAGTCTTCCGGTGCTGAATCTTGGGTTTAGATGCATCAACATTATCAGAGCTAGACTGGGAATGATCATCAGAATCAGAACATTTCTTTTCAACTGGAATGTCGGGATCCTTTTCCTTCTGTCTTTGCTTGGCATCAGGATGATCTTTTCCTTCACTCACTTTGAGTGCATCATCACCATCTGTCTTTAAAATATTGTCTCCTTCATTTTTTTGTTCTTCTAATTTATGGGTTACTTTCTCTTCATCTATTTTCTCATTAAGATCCACCTCTGAAAAGCTTTCTTTATTATTTTGCCCTTTTTTACTGACAATTTCTTCAACATTTTGTTTTCTGCTTTCTTCACTCTTCAATTTGAGTAAAGATTTTGTTTGTTTTGTCTTTGGTCCTGAGGTTGATCTGCGTAGTGGTGAGCGGGATTTTACTGGTTTTACTTCAGGAGATGAAGAGCCCGATTCGAAAAACTCATCAAAAAAGCTATCAGAGCTTTCACTTGATTTAGCTGATCTCACAGACGTTGACGAAGTTGATCGCTGTGGAGTTTTAGTGTCAGTTACAGGACTTGCTCTTGAGCCTGAAAATAAATATGTAAATTCTATATTTAAGTTTTCATTTTTTATTTTCCCCTTTTCATTCATAATTATTAATGTTGACAAGTACAGTGATATTATTTATAAACTTTGTTTGGTTTGGAAAAAAACATCATGGAAGTGACATCTAGGCCTAGGCCTACTACATACAATACATGGTCTTCAGACAAACCTTTATTACAAGTTTTTAATTACTCAACCAAGTATTGGGTAGGGCTAGGCCTAGGCCCTAGGCATACCTACCTGTACTTTTCTTATTAGTCGCACCCACTCCGACCTTACTTTTTTTAACACTAGCTTCTGATTGGGTTTGGTTCTGATCGTCGTCGTCAGCATTTCCGCCGTCGTGAATGTCAAGCGCACGATCAATAGATTTTTGAGCGTTGGAAAGTGCTGCTTTTGCAAAATTAGAAAAACTAGAATCAAACCAACTCATGATTAAACTTTACGAAAGTTTATCAATCGATAAACTACCAAAATTCATCTAAACATGGCCTGTTTGTGGCCACGTACTTGGCTCCGTGATGTTATGTTTGTGTATATTATTTGACCTTTCATCCATGTCCATTACATCCTCGTCCAAAGAAATTTACCAGATAAATATTATCTGGTAGGGTGGTAATATCCCTTTGTTTTTACCGTAAAACAGAGCACACATAAATAACTTTCTGGCTTTATAAATGACGAGTGGAAAGAAACTGTTTTCTGACTGTTTAGATAGCCTCGCTAGGCCTACACATCCGAGTTCTTTTGTATTATTCGCCGCTTTATAGTACAATCATCTTATAACGCACTGGGAACTTCAGCTTCCCCAGTGGCTCAGTCGGTTAGCGCGCCGTACTTATAAACAGTACATGGCTTCGCCTTTACTACTGCTTAGGAAATGCGGAGGTCGAGAGTTCGATCCTCTCCTGGGGAACTATTTTTTGGCGCCATTCTAAATTAATAGACCTTCTGTTATTATCTTTACCATTGTATTTTTCTTATATATTTATTGTAATACTATCATTTTGAAGTCTGATTTTTTGGCGCCATTCTAAATTAATAGACCTTCTGTTATTGTCTTTACCATTGTAGTTTTATATAATTATTTATTGTTACTATCATTTTGAAGTCATGAATACTTATTCTTTTGTTGGATAAAATGATATCGATTGATTGGTTACTGGTTGATAGGTATTGATAATAAATATACTAATCATTTTATTGTCAAATTCCAAATAATTTGTTACAGAAAGTTATATTCTTTATTCTATTCCTCACACATAACTTATGTAATTACCATTTTTTTTCTAACATTATATGCTATATTTAACTCACAAATCATTACAGTATACTCATAGGTACAATCTTTTTTGAAATTAAACTTCCTTTAAATATTAAGTTGGTACTGCATACAGGCACAAACAAATATAATAAATGTTAGGGAGCGACTAAGTAATGTTCATTCTTTTAATGATTCAATATTTTTAAAGATTAAACTTCCTTTAAATATTTATTTGTTACTGTATAGAAACGGGCGCACACAAATATAGTAAATTTTAGGGGTACTGACTAAAGAGTACTGACTAATGTTCATTTTTTTTTTAATGAATCTAACATTTTTTTCTTTTAAAGAAACAGCCACTTAAAATACAACCTCGGAAATTTTAATAAATCTTTGAACGACTCATAATTATAATATGTACATTAATCTTTTATTTAAATTGGAAGGATATACAATTATGTACCTAAAAACATTCATATTTTTGTTTATATTTATATAAAAGAAAGTTCAGACAATGCATGGTGTATATTGGCAAACACTGACATGGTTTCACAATCACGACAATTGAATATTGAAAAACATTTTTTTTTGTTTGTTTAGTAGTTTTCATTTGTCTGCCTTCATTTCAGTTGTAGGCTATTTATCATTATTTTTGATTTACTTTAAGTTACTTCTGAATTTCATGATTGTAAACATTTCTTGTTATATTTACTGTATGTACCAGGGCTTCATTTGAAAACAGTGCCAATCACTGAATGGATACCCCCTGGTTAAAGAAAGCTTAAATAAATAACATCACCATCATCACCACCACCATCCCCTGCTACCCTCATCATCACCAGCATCATCAATGATGTGTACAGGGCCCTTAGTAAATAGAGCACATTTTAACCCCACTAGTCGGGTGTTTGCCAATTAGTGTATCAAAGTTTATGACCTATTCACTGTCAAATGATGTTGAGTGAGGCATAGCTAGTCCAGTTGCGCTACTGTATTACTTTCAGTGACCCTGCTTGCAAAAAAACCTGCTGTGATTAAGGTATGTAGTAAGCTCTTTATAACTATAACTGTAATTACATACTGCCAATAATATAAGGGTTATGTACACCTAATGAAACACCAGCATCCATCACAATTACTCTCATCATCATCACCACCAACATCTTAACTATCAATAGAGACCACTACATTCAATGCCACACAATCCTACCAATTAAAGTAAATGTTCATACACTTGTGTGTAGCAAAGAAAACGATGATAAAGTCAAAATCAAACCAAGAGAGACATATTATGTTTCAATTGCAATATTTATTGAATGATAAAATATATAAAACATCTTTATATACATCTGATCTTTCAAATTACTGTACTTAAACTGGTCACTCTCAACTTTAAAAATCAAATCCTCTAAAAAGGATAAACAAATAGCATTAATGGAAATATATTTGCATCAAAATTGCTACACGATTGAAAAAAAAATATTGGTTACACTATAGACTATATAACATTTACATATTTCTACATAAATTTAATAAAAATGGTATTAAAATAATTGAGTTTGGCAAGTAACAATTTAGATGATGATAAAAGATACTGAAATATATGTATGTATATATAATGTATACATAATATATATATA